AAACCACTTGTCAACATCTGCTGTGCCACCACACTTTCCTCCCTCAACACAACAAACATACTATGCAGTTAGCTGTAATTCCTCTCCTTTAAGTCTGTTCTAGACAGTCTTTAAACAAGGTTTCTGGTCCTTGCATTCTATAAAACCAATCTGTTAAGAGTCTCCAGTACCAACCTTCCCCTCAAAGTTTATAATAGCATCCTATCTTCCTGATCCTCTAGACTTTTTAGAGAAGTATATACTGTTAAAATACTGACTTTCCCTAACTGCTTTCAACATTGTGTTTTTTCTCCTACCTTGTTATCTCTTTGATTTCTGGTTCTACGAAGCTTTGTTTTCCCCAGTTCTAAATCTTACCACCCATAAACTCACTCAAACACAATCTTGGTATAAAAAAATTCAGAAGTTAATACTCCTGCTTTGCCCAGACCTGTCTTCTCCCAAATACTGCCCAAATCAAACTCTTGTGACTGCACAGTCTCAGGTAAATTTCAACATATTTAAAATAATCAACATAGACAACTGACATCCTCCACACTACTACCTTCTCCATGTGATTACACAGTCACTATGTAATAATACCAGCAGTAATATGCATATCAGCTTCCACAGAATAGTTGAGGCTGGAAAGGACCTCTAGGCCATCTAGGCCGATACCCCTTCTCAACTACAGCAGGTTGCTCAGGACTGCATCCAGTCAGCGTTCAAGTATCTCCAAGGATGGAGACTCCACAGCCATTTCTCCAATCTGTCAAGGTCCTTCTCAATGGCAGCACAGTTATCTAGGATGTTAGCTACTCCTCCCAGTTCTGCACCATCCACAAACCTGCTAAGAGCACGCTCTGTCCTATCACCCAGGCCACTAATTAATATAAACAGTACTGACCCCAGTATCATCACCTGGGGGACACTGCTCATCACTGGCCTTCAGTTGGGCTTCATGCCAGTGATCACAACCCTCCCAGCCTGGCAATTCTGCCAGGTTTCAGGCCACCTCATACTCTACTTACCTAGCCCATGCTTCATCAGTTTCTCCAGGAGGATGTAATGGGAGAGTGTGGTGAAGCCTTACAAGAATTGAGATAAACAACACGCACTGCTCACCCTTCATCCACCCAGCCAGTAATCTCATCACAGAAGGTTATCCGCTTTGTCAGGCATGTTTTCCCCCTTCATAAATACACACTGAACATCACCTTTACCGTGGCTTCACTCTACCTCCTTAAGCCCCTGCTACAAATCATACAAATTCTGTTTAAAAAGAAAATCCTTAACACAGCCTCTGCTTTCACTCGTACAGCTTACAATTCACTCTTGTTAAGTCTGTTTCATGTCTGCTA